CCCTGGGGGGTACCAAAATGGGGTGTCAAGAATCAGTTTGATTCACTGTACCTGGGAAATTAAACAGGTTTTTTGGAGGGACCTAAATAGAGCCTTCCTCCCCTGGTTTGGAATAAGACATGTTACTCCCCTCCAGCATCTTTTGAGGGGATCCAGCTTTGCAACTGAAGCGGCTACCTGCCTAGGGGGGGTCCCAAGGCCAGAAAGAAAACCAGGAGAATAACCAGCAAATAAATAACCCAGCAAAGAGGATGGGGCTCCCAAAGGACGCGGGGCTGGCCCCGATGTCGGCACAGCTCGCTGAGCCCCCCCAAAGGTGTGGTGTCCCCGCTGATGTCTGCTTTCCGGAGCAAAGGATACGTGTGCTCTGCCAGGAAATCCCGAGCTCTGCAGAAACTGGCCGCATCTCCATGAACTCTACTGTCATTTGTATGAAATGTATGTGTGGGGGGGGTTGTTTTGGTTTGTTTTGGTTTGTGGGTTTGTTTTGGTTTTTTATTTTAACAAAGACAGTCTTTAGGAATGGCCGGTGTGCTGCAGGAAGGCAAAATACCCATAACGTGTTGTGCAATGTCCTGCCCTCTGGAAATAGAGCTGGGCTGGATTTTTCAGCCAACTTTTTTTAAGTGTGAGAAAGGCAGCTGTAACGGCCTTCAGGGCAGAGTCTGCCTGGTAAAAATTCATTTTTTTTTTATTTCTTTCCCATTGCTTTTACTTTGTTAGAGGGAAGCGTGTGGAGAAAAATTCACACCCAGCAACTATGATGCTGCAGGATGATTTTATTCACCTGTTCCCATGAAACCCCTTAGCGCTCGAAAAACTTGGGTTGTTCTGACACTGTTGGTTCTGACAACACAGCCTCAAAGCATCTCACATCTTCTGTGTAAGAGCCAGAGATTTTCAGGAGGAGCCTTGTGTTAATCTGTGCCATTGTGCAATTGGAAGCCCAGAACCTATATTTGAATTTAATTGGTTTCAACTCATTTTCTGTCAACTCTTTTTGAAAGCAGTAATTGAGGGAGATGCATGTTTGTGCAGGGGAAGGGTGGGATCTGCAGGGCGATGGCTGCTGTGGCACAAAACTGGAAGCAGCAAAGCCCAACCACCCTATAATATGATCTAATGCATTTTAAATCTGTGCTTGACTATTCTGCTCCAATGGTAACCATATTATCTAGTTTTGTGATTTTTTTTTTTTAATTGAAATTGTGAAATTAATTGGATTTTTTCTAATTGATATTTCATTGAAATCCCTTAAACAGTAGGGTATTTGAAATGTAGTTTTTCCTTCTGATCAGAAAGGTGCCTGATCTGAAGTTGGACAAGCACTGCTAACCAGGATGTGGTTTTTGGATCCGGGTGCAGGATCTGGAGGGCAGCATGCTCCAAGACAACTGCTGCCCTTGACCATGACGTTGGCTCTTCTGCTCAGCAGCCCCCTTAGGAGATCACTCTGATTTAACAAACCGATTCAACCACTAATTTCGTAATGCTAAAACTGGAGCTGGACAAGTGGGGTCAGGCGTCGAAGTCTAATTCCCACTCCTCCTTCGCAACTCCACGGTATTCCAGAGGCGGTTTTGGTACACAAAGGATTTTTGGCTTCTGCATAACTAAAACCAGAGGGCGATGTCTGTAACGGCTGCAAAGCGAAGTTGTTCAGGTTTTATACTCAAGCTTGACAGGCTAGGAATTTTGGCAGTGTCATTTTTATATTAATTCAGCTCTTACTGCAGGGATTAGCCTATTTTTAGCCAAGAAAGAGGCTCCTGGATGCTGACAAAGTGGTGGCACTCTGTAACGGGGAAGGGAACGCCAGGTCTCAAGCACAGCCCTGGCAGCCCCCCGGGTCCAGCCTGGCAGCGAGGAGCCTCCCCAGGGCACATTTAGCCCTGCAAAACCCCCAGTGTGTCCTTGCTTTGAATCAGATTAGAAACCAGATGTAAACTGGTAATAATGAGATAATCAGCCACGGGGACCGTTAACTGAAGGAAATTATATGTTCCTCATCACAAGGAGTGTATACATCAGCACAGAGGTATGGAAATGAGGCTAATTCGACACAGTCTTGTGTTATTGCCCATGTATATGTTCTGGCATCTATATGCAGCTCCTCCAGACCAGCAGCCCTGGTGTGAGGTTTGCCAGCCGTGCCATGGGGCTCAGCATGGGCTGGAAAGCCCCTTTGCACTGTGGGGTAGTAGCTGGCTGCCATTTTAAAGTATATTTTTCAGACATTTTCAAATCAGAATGTCTGACCTGTTCCATTTTGAAAGTACATTTCTTTTTTTAGGAAAAGATTTTTAAAAAAAAACCCAGCCTGAAAGAAAAAAAAAAAAAAAACACAACACAGTCTGTTCTGCCCAGCACTATATTTCACTGGATTTTCATTTTGATCAGAGAAGCACAAGGCATTTTCACTGGCCATTTTTAACTCTTTTGGCTGTATTTCAAGGTGGACTTTTTTTGTTGCAGCCAGGGGAAAAAAATAAAAAAAAGAAGCCAGCACTGGCTGCCCGTTGCTGAAAGACCTGGCAGGGCAGGGTGAGGCTTGGGTTTGCAAATATGGAGCTGGCAGTGATTGCAGGTTGCTGTTAGGGGGAAAGCTGCCCGCAGGAGCACACGCATGCACACAGCCTCCATTACAGGCCGGTCACATCAGGAGGAAAAGGGGACACACACACCCGGATTTATGCAGCTGTAAGGCAATAAGGGTGCAGGCTTGGGTGGGTGGACACTTGGCATCCAAAAAATATATCCCCATGCCAGCTTGTTGTGTGCTTGCAATAAACTCATAAGGGAAGGCTTCAGATTGTACCTGGAAAAGACAATTTTTATTATTGCATTCTGTGGGTGTTGAGGTAAGGGTATTTTTTAACCTACTTAAATACCACTTGATGCTATCTCTGGGCGGGGGGTGGGTCACGGAGTGACTTGTGGTTTATTTAAAAATCAACCATCTGGAGAGCTTCTCTTGAGGGAAGTCAGGTTGATTTTGCTTCTTAAAATAACTCGGTGAAGAGTCTCTCATCTCAAATCTCTCGGTTCCACGAGGTGTGAAAGGAGGGAGGGAAGGAGGGAGGGAGGGAGGGTAAAGGTCAGTTAGCTTGGCATGGTTGGCAGCACAAGGAGAGGGTTTAAAGCTGTTACTGCTGGTCACCCTTCCAGCCATGGGGAGCATATTTGTCTTAGAAAAACTAATCTTTCACAAGCACTGCGGGTAGGATCCCCTTGGAAATCACCCCAAGCAGGAGAGCTGCTCCTGAGCTGCTGGAGTGGTTCTTCCCAGGGCACCAACAAGCCGCCACGTGTCGGGTCACCCCCATCCACCTACAAGGAGCCTCTCTTGGCACCAGCCACCCCAAAACATTCCCCTGCAGCCCAAGCAGTTGCTATTCATCCCCAGCTCTCCCCACCCAAAGCTTTTCCACAGAAGGACTAGTACCAGCAGCACAATGTGGGCAGAAGTCCTGCTCACTGCGAAGGAGTTTCCTCCTTTACAGTAAAAGACCATTTAAAAGCTTCCTGTTCCTCCTGGGAGGTGGAGGAGGGGGTCGGGGTAATCTGCAGGCAGTTTCATTGTTTTATTACACATTTTCCGGCCGTCGGCTGCAACAGGAACCCCTGGAGCAGCGATGCCCTTCCTGGGCCTCTGTGCCCAGCCCGACAGCCACTGATGCTGGGAACTTTTGTGTCATCACCAGGGACCAGAGTGTCATTTCCCCCCCCCCCATTAAAATACCCTACAGAGACTGGGGGGGGGGTGGAGAGCAGCATGTGGAGACAGGGTGCCCTGCTCCCCGTGCCACAGTCCCTGCAGCTCTGGGTACCAGGATTTTCTGTGCTTCTCCACTTCCACGATATTTGAGCCGGGACGTCATAGCCAAAACATCTTTGCCAGCTGCACAGTTAACTAGGGTCATATATTTAAGCACCAAGAGGAAAATTGCACCTGCTTTCCCATGAACGCTGAGCATGTTCTCAGTAATATAATACATGTATTTATCTATATTCCTATCCCTGCGGCCAGAACCCGTTCCACACAAAAAATGATCTCAGACAGCCAGGTCACTGTCAGCTCAAGGCTCCACTCTGGCTTCCCAAAATCTCCGTGACCCACAGCCGCTCACCCAACACCATGACTTGGGAGTATGAGGCGTGGACGAGTGAGAAAAAAGGTCCTTTGCTGCATCACTTGATGGCCTGGACTGGGAGGATGGGATTAGAGTTGCACCATTGGAAAGTCCCCAGCCCCACAGACAAGTGGTCCTCTCTGCCCCAGACCTGAGCTGAGCCGCTGATGGTAATTTCTTGGCACAAAGATGTCTTTGATCCCTCTCACTGCCAAAAAAAAAAAAAAAAAAAACCAAAACAAAACAAAAAAAAAACCCAACCAAACAACATAAATAAATTGAAAAACCCCAAACAGCCAAGCACAACAGTTGCTTAAAAAAAAAAAAAAAAAAGCAATCTCTGTCCCTTTTTACTTGTCGCACCACAAAACTGAATTCAGTGTAGGCTTCAATTTAGGGTGGGATTCCCGGTACATAACTGGTTTTTGGGCCAGGCTTGGGCTGGTGCTTACCCCACCACCTCCCAGTCTCCAGGTTTTGGAGCCCCGGTGCTGCGGGATGCTCCTCTCCTGCCAAAGAAAGGGAGGGCCGGGGGGGCCCCCCAGCCAGCCGAGGGTCCCCACCTGCATCCCCCCGCCTTGGAGCGGCTTGGCGGGGAAGGGCTGGCCGGGGGTGTGGGGGAAAGCGGGGATGCGCGAAAGGGATGCGGGAGCGAGCGCGGGGGGGGGGGCGGGGGGGGGGGGGGGCGGGCTGCCGACAGTCGCCAGGGCAACCTGCCTCCATCTCCTGCCTTGCCCGGGGTGGGACACCCCGCCAGCCCCCCGGGGGACACGGGGGTGTTTGGGGGGGGGGGGGGGGAGGGATGCGAAGGCGGGGGGCGTGGGGAGGGAGGCGGGGGGGCTGCGGGGGTGCGGGGCGGGGGGGCCGGACTGCAGCATCCCGCCCGCCGCAGTGCTGCCGGCCGGGGCGGCGGGAGGGCTCAGCACCGGCACAGCCCCGCAGGATGGAGGGGTCCCTCGGCGGGGCCCCAGCAAGCAGGAGCCCCCACCCCTAAGCGGGAAGGGCCAAGGGTACGTCTGCTGCTTTGTTTCCATAGCGGAGAGCGTAAATCAGGAACTTGGGTTCTTGTTATTTATTTAATGGGAAGGCTGATTTTCCTGGCATAGGGGGGAGGGGAGGGGAGGGGGGAGGGAGAAGAGCCGGTATTCCCACCCGGCAAAGCGGGGTCTGTCTTTCTTTTTAGAAGGTCTGGATGCTTCTGGGTCATCTGATTCAGGCCAAGTAGGACTTTGCATTGCCACCAGCCTGCAGATCCCACCGGATCCCACCCAGCGCCTGCTGCTGCCCCCCAGGAGGGACGGGGAATGCTCTTTCAAGCCCCAGAGGACTGAGAGGTAAAAGATCCCCAGTTCGGTTTCTCCTTGTTTGCTTTCCCCGCGGGGGTTAATGAGATATTTGTAGAGATTCGTTAGGGCGGATGGGGGCATCGGCTCCCAGGCTTTGCATCCCCCGCACCTGCATCCCCTAAGACCCCAAATGTCCGGGGATGCTCCGGCCTGGGGAGTGATGCTGCTGCCCTGAGGAGCAATGCGAAGGTTCCCCGGGCAGGGATGGGGAGGGGGGGGTGATTGGAGGGAACGGGGGGACCACAGCCGGAGCTCTCATTCCCTTCTCTCCCTGCCTGCAGGCTGGCCCCCGTCCCCAGCACTGTCCTCTCCATGGACCACCTCCCAGCATGAGCGCCGACGCCGAGCAGCTCCCGGCGGGGGCCCAGGTGCCCAGTGTGCCCCTCTGGACCGTATCAAGCTGGGCCGCCTCCGAGGTGCCCCCCAACACCAGCACGGCCACAGGGGAGGCTGGCTGGCAGCAGGGGCAGGCGGAGTGGGGCGAGATTGCGGGCATGGTGGTGATCCAGTGCATCTACGCCTTGGTGTGCCTGCTGGGGCTGCTGGGCAACTCCCTGGTGATCTTCGTCATCCTGCGCTACGCCAAGATGAAGACGGCCACCAACATCTACCTGCTCAACCTGGCCATCGCCGACGAACTCTTCATGCTCAGCATCCCCTTTGTGGCCACGTCAGCCGCCCTGCACCACTGGCCCTTCGGCCGGGCCCTGTGCCGCACCGTGCTGGGTGTTGACGGGCTCAACATGTTCACCAGTGTCTTCTGCTTGACCGTCCTCAGCCTGGACCGCTACATCGCAGTGGTGCACCCGCTGCGGGCAGCCACCTACCGCCGTCCTCGGGTGGCCAAGATGGTCAACGGGGGCGTGTGGCTCCTCTCCCTCCTGGTGGCTTCGCCCATCCCCATCTTCGCCGGCACGGCAACCACCCGCGATGGCCAAGCGGTGGCCTGCAACCTCCTGTGGCCAAGCCCAGCTTGGTCAGCCGCTTTCGTGGTCTACACCACCTTGTTGGGCTTCTTGCTGCCGGTGTTGGCCATGGGGCTGTGCTACCTGCTGATCGTGGGCAAGATGCGGGCGGTGGCGCAGCGGGTGGGCTGGCAGCAGCGCCGGCGCTCCGAGGGCAAGCTGACACGCCTGGTGCTGATGGTGGTGGCCATGTTTGTGGTCTGCTGGATGCCCTTCTACGTGGTGCAGCTGGTCAACCTCCTGCTGCCCGGCCGCCTGGATGCCACCGTCAACAACGCCTCCCTCATCCTCAGCTACTCCAACAGCTGCGCCAACCCCATCCTCTATGGTTTCCTCTCCGAAAATTTCCGGCACTCCTTCCACGGTGTGCTGCGCCGCTGCCTCGACGCCAGCCTCTGCTGCTGCCACGCCGGGGAGGGGGCCACCGAGGAGGAGGAGGAGGAAGACCCTCTTGACTACTGCGCCGCTCCCCGCGGGGACGACAAGGGCAAGGGCTGTATGTGCCCACCCCTGCCCTGCCAGCAGGAGCCTGTGCACCCCCAGCCCTGCTGCAAGCCGGGACCCCTCCTCGCAAAGACCACCACCTTCTAGGGTGCCCCCCACGCTTCGCCGCCCCCCCGCAACGGGCGTCTCTGCCAAAGGGGGGGGCCCCGGCTGGAGAGGGGACAAACTCAGCGTCGGTCCTCACGTGTGCCATGCAGTTCGACAAAATAAAAAGCCATAAGACTGGCCTGTGATACAGTTAATGACACTGAGTAATTATTGCCATTCCCTTTGGCAGCGAGGAGCCTCCGCTGGGATTGGGTACAATGAGGATTTCAAAATGCGTTAGCGAACAGTGAGCAGCCACAGGGAGGTGCCCCTCCAGAATAATAAAATACAAACTTTCCCGTTCCTTCCCAAAACATGCTCTGAAAGATGGAGAAAAGTCCCAAAGCTCATCAGCCCCCACTATGCCTACAGCAGAGCAAGGGCATAGGACTGGACCTGACTCTGGAATCAGCTCCACAGGGTGTTGAGAGCACAGGATGGATTTGACCCCTTTGGGTTCCCCTTATGCGGGAAAAAAAACTTAAAAAATAAAAAAATAAGGGGTTTCTGGGCAACTGAAATCAGACCTTGAAATTACACAAACTGAGACTTGGCAGGTGCCAGGGAGTCCCAAACCTTCCTTCAGCTAAAGGGGAAAGGAAAAAAACTTAAGTTCCACCAAAAAACCTCCCCCCCCACCGCCCCCAAATTCCCAGGCAAAGGGATTTTCAGCACACGCAGGACCAAAATTGCATTTTCCACAAGAAAATCCAGGAGAACCAAATCCTGCTCTCTTTTGCCACAGGTAAACATCACCTTTAGTGGTACTCGAAGCACATACCAACAGAAACTTCAGCTGAGGAGTAGCCCTGGGGCTGTACCAGCTTGGCAGCGCGGAGGTAGCGTTAAATTAGCCATTTCCAGCTTCTTTGGTTTTAACTTTGTCCTTTTAATGTTATTCTCGTTCTCCATTATTTATGGCTCATTCCTTCTATTTTAATCATGCTGGTGAAATAACCGGCGGGACAGCATTTTCATCCTGATGCTCCGCAGAGATCCCACAGCTCCTTTACTTTTTTTTATTATTTTTTTTTTGCTCCAGCGGAGTTTGTGACTTCTGGAGCTCTGGCTGTGAGACAGGCCGGTGCTCAGTGAGGAGGAAGAGTCATTTTAGGGAAGGGGAGAAAGAATACGTCATTAGTGGCTTTCTATAAACCAGACTGTAAAAGCTTTATTGGTCTACACACAAAATCACCATGTGATTGTGCATTGCGTAGGGTATATTTCCAATAAATAAATAAGTATTTACAAATGTGTATAAAACAGTGGGTGGAACCATTTACATTAGGAAAGCTACGGCTCATGCAACGTGTATCTTTTTTATTTTCCTTGCTGCAACGTAGCTTTATCATATGGGGAGGGGGAAACACGGTGTGAGAGCAAGCTCACTTAGCATATAAAGGGGGGCTGGATCTGGGGGGACACAACCCCCCCCAGGCTCCACAGCCCCTCTGCAGCATCCATCCCTCCCAAGTTCTGACCCCAGGCCTGCAAAACTTCCCGCGGGAAAGCCAAGAGCTGCTGCTGGCTGATATTTCACTGGCATAAAGCTGTCAGCACCCATTCTGCCGGCTTCACCCCACCCTGGCTGCCGGAACAGGACCCCCGCTGCCCCCCGTCCCACCAGCTCTGCCCCGCACCATGCTGGCTTTGCAGAGCTGCCCCTCCTCTCCTCGCCGAACGATGGAGCTGGAAAAACGCATAAAATATTTTTCCAGTTTCCCCCCCTGCCCCGCTAATCCGTGGCCGGGAAGCAAGTAGTGGGCCAGATCCTGCCTCCCAGGAAAGTTTTGCCATGAGCTTTAACATGGGTTAGACTCAGCCTTGGAAAAGACTAAAGGAAAACCAGGAAAAAAACACCCTGTGGAAAAGAGGGGTCAGTTAAGTGTTTTTGTTTGTTTGTTTGTTTGTTTTAATTAAAAAAAAAAAAACAAACCCACAACCAAACAGTTAAACTCAACAACAGCAGAAAATCACAGAAGAAATTGTGTGGGGAATACGAGGCTCCCCGGCACTGCAACCAACCTTTCCTACCATGGAAAAAATTACCATGGCATTCCCAGTATCCCCATCTAACCTCTGCACCCCCCTCAAAAAAGCCCCAGAACTGTAAAAGGGAATAGCAATCAGGCATTTTAGCCCTCATGCAGTGACACTCAGCAGGGTCTCCACTGTCACTAGTGATTTAAGGTGAAAAGTGCGCAGCTGCCAGAGGTGAGAGGCAAAAGATGGGTTGGGGGGAGGAACAAAACCAGATTTCTGCTGATGAGGCAGAGGAGAGCAGAGGAGTGAAGCAAAGTGCTGAGGCCAAGATTGTTGCTCCTTCTCCATCACCCACCAGTTTAAAAAAAAACCTAAACCCAACCCAGGCAAAGGCAGAAGCATCCCAGCTCCTCGCTACCCTGGGGAGAACTGTCATCTCCAGCCCAGCGGCATGTTTCCCGGCCGGGGAGGGGATTTGGGGCCAGGCGATCTTCCACGGTCCGCAAGGACTTGGCCAGCCATGGCAGGGGTGCTCTTGTCCCCTTGTCGATGCGGATTTAAACAGTCAGTTTAAACACACAGGCGTTTTTTCTTTCAAGCCCCCCCACACCCCTGCAACCGCTGGCTGGGGGAGAAGAAAAGCCGAACGAAGGGAGAAGAAACGGAGCAGCACTCGGTGCCTTCCACCTTCCCCGCTCTCTGCCGCGAGTATTGGAAAGCAGTGAGTATTTTTGGAAATGGAGGTGATCACAGCTTTTCCCAAATTATCATTAAAAAATTACAGGGAGCGGGGGGAGAATAAATGTTACCCAGTTTCGTCCATCTCCCTCTCTCCGTCCTGCCCAGTCTCCCTATAGTTTCTGGCTGGAGGTGGCAGACGCCGAGGTGACCGGCTGAAGTCCCATCTCCTTTTCGTGGGGGCCACTGTACTTGTAATCCATGGTGCTGGGGGGCCTGCAGTGCTTCTTCGCCAGGTGGTACCCCAATGCCAGAAGAGCCAGGGCTGTGGAGAGGACGCCCATGGCGATGCCCACCAGAGCGCCGGGGTGGAGGTGCTTTGCCTTCGGCGGGGTCCGGCTGGGGATGGGTGTCAGGGGATCAGGCCTGAAATCCCCTGAGAACGCTCCCTCCTCGTCCTCCTCTGAGATTTTGATGCAGTGGTTCTCTCTGAAGACCTGGTAGCCAGCTTGGCAGTGGCACTCGTAGCCGCCGGGGTGGTTGGTGCAGTTGTGCTGGCAGAAGTTCATGTCGCACTCGTCGATGTCCACGCAGACCTGCCCGCTGGCCTCATCGCCATCCAGCAAGAAGCCGTCGGGGCACTCGCAGGACAGGGTGTGCGGGTCGCACTCGGCAGGACACTGGCTGCGGTTGCAGTGCAGCAAGCAGCGGGTGGGCGCCTGCGGGTCCACGGCGTAGCCGGGGAAGCAACTGCAGCGGTACCCGTCGGGCACCTCCTCGCACTGCTGCTCGCAGAGCGCCTCGTAGCAGCGGGAGACGGGCCGGCAGCGCCCTTCCACCATCTTGTAGCCACGGTGGCAGTGGCACTCGAAGCCGCCCTCGGTGTTGACGCAGACTTGCTCGCACACCCTGGGCAGCACGGCGCAGTCGTCGTCATCCTCGCAGCTGCTGCCGTCGGCGGCCAGCCGGTAGCCCGACTCGCACATGCAGAGGAAGGTGGTGCCGATGACGACGCAGTGATGCTGGCAGGGTGCGCCGGCGCAGGGCGAGCTGCAGCCGCGGCCGTCGGCGCCCAGCACCTTGCCGTCGGGGCAGGAGCAGCGCGGCCGGCCTCCCTCCTCGCCGCACGTCCCCTCGCAGCCCCCGTTGGCCAAGCGGCAGGGCCAAGCTCCCGGGGTGGCGTGACCCCAGCGCAGCCCCCCGCTTTCTCCTTCCTCGTTGCAGTGCAGCTCCAGCCCCATGGCCGGGATGCCGGCGGTGCTGTGGGGCGGCAAGGCCAGAAAATCCGTGCCACGGGCGCCGAAGGGGGTGGTGTAGGTGACCGACAACCCCTCGGCGGGAGGCAGGCGAGGGCAGCTGCCCGCGTAGTTGTACTCGCAGAGGAAACCGTCAGCCGGCTCCTCGCAACGCTGCTCTTCCCACCGCAGCTCCCGCGACACAGTCACGCAGCGCTGCCCGCACCGCTGCCCCGACGACGCCCAGTTGGAATAATCAGTGCGGCGGTCGCCCGTCACCCACTGGAAACCGCGGAGGCGTTGGGCCGGTTCGGTACAAAGAGGCGAGAGATGTAACCCAAGCCAGAGCTGCCCGCTACGGTTCTGCACCAAAACGGCGATAGCGTCCTCCGCCACGGTGGACCGGACGGTCATGAGGTGCCCGCCGCCCCGGTTGCAGGCCGCGCTGGCCTCCGCGAAGGGTTGACTTGCCCAAAATATGCTGAAGCAGTCGTCCTCCAGGCACTGTGCGCCCGAGGGGGCGGCCGGCTCCGGTTCCCCCCCCAGCCCCAGCCCCAGCCCGGCCAGCAGCAGCGGCAGCAGCGGGACCCGCCGCATGGCAGCCGGCGGAGAAGCCGGCCGGCGCGGCAAATCTCTAGCATATCGCCGTCGTCTTCCCGATTTATAGGCGCTCCGGCCACCCCCACCCCCCCCAACCTCCGCCTTCCCCCCCCCCCCCCCCCCCTCCGCCCCGCCGCAGGAAGGAAGCGCCTCCAGGGACGGGCCGCCGCCGCCGCCGCTGATTTCGGCGGGGGCGGCCCCCCGGTAAATCCCGGCGGCGGGGCGGGGGCTGCTCTGCCGGGACAGCCGTCCAGCCCCTTCCCTCCCCCCCCCCCCCCGCCTCCCCTTCCACCTCCGCTTCTTCGCCGCCGCCTTCTGCCGGCTCCTCCCCGCCGAGCTCGGGGAGGAGGTGGCGGGGGGGGGTGCAGGGACCGCCCGGCCCGGGGATGCTCCCCCCTCGCCGCTGCCGGGCTGGGAGGAGCGGGGCTGGAAAGCGGGGGGAGCTGAGAGCTGCCCCGGGTACCCCCGCGGGATGCTCCGGCAACGGGCTGAGGTGTTGGGCGCCTGCGGCAGCGTGGGGCCGTGGGCTTGGGGGAGGCTGGGCAGAGCCGGGAAAAAGATGTTTTCTCCTTGTGCAAAAGGGGGAGCGAGCTCTGGGGGGACAGCGACTTGCTGGGGGCAGCTCAGGAGGGCAGGCGGGTGGAAGTAAGGCTTGGTCCGGCCCCGGCTTTACAGCAGCCAAAGCCGACCTAGCCCCCCCAAGCTGAGGTGAGACAGCGCTGGCAGCGACACCATAAGCTGTCCCTCCCACTCGGGATGCCCCGTCAGGGCCCGATGCGTGGCCTGCCACCCCCTTCCAACCTAAGCACCACGGCTCATCCCCCGCCTCGCCGTGCTTCGGCACCTGGATTTCACAGCAGCGCTTTCCCGGGGGGGGCTGCTGCCCAGCTGCGGACCACGCAGCACCACCCTCAAACCTTCAAGGCAGGTGGGATGAGGGGCTACAGGGTGGGTGGCCCTGCTTGCCCACCCCTTGGCCTCTTCCCATCACTTGCTCCTCTCCAGGGGCCACGCAGAGTTCCCAAGAGATGGGGGCATGGCCTCAGGGTGACGTCTACCACTGGCAGAAGGTGGCATGTGGCTGGGGGGGCTGCAGCAGGCACCCCCATTGCTGGGGAGAAGTGCCCGTTGCTGCTCTGGAGTGATGGCAGCTCCCAGAGCTCATCTGGACATGAAGGATGTGCTGGAGTAAAGACAAGGGTCAGTTGTTCCAGGGCAAAGGCAGACGTTAAAGAAAGAAAAAAAAAAAAAAAAAAAAAAAAGTGGATTTTTCAAAGAGGAAGGAAATTCTGAGGTGGCCCTGGTTTTTGGGATAGCAATGAGGGACTTGGGAGAGCCCTTCCCTGCTCTTGAAGGATGCGGTAGAAACAGTGATGATCCACCACCTCTAGGTGCCTTACAGTTTGCAAGCCCAGCAAAGCAGTCCCAGAGGATTTGAGGTAAGATGGTACAGCAGAAGGAAAAAAAAAAAAAAGTGGCATTTCCCCCAGGGCTTTGCAAATAAGCTCCCAGTTGTGTGTAGAAACAGGGCTGGCATGACCTCGTTGAAATTAGAGAAAATCAGCATGGAGAGGGGGCACCATCCTGGCTCCAACGGTGCTGGAGAGCTGGGGCTGAGCCCCGGCAGAGGGGCCCCATCCCCGGTGCTCCTGCCTGGCTGGGGCGGGGGGGACGACTTGCCCCCGGGGTGCCAGGTCCCCTTCTTCACAGGAGCCTCTGCTGGTGTTTTCTGAGCAGCTGTCCCCTTTTCATGGTTTTATCTTTTCAGGATCCGCCTCTGCTGTCAGAACATAGCCAAGAGCAAAATAAAAATGAAAAGCAAACATCCAAAGCTTCACCACTCAAAGGAAAGGGTATTTGACCCTTTTTTTTTTTTTTTTTTTTTTTTTTTTTTTCCAATTTTGAGAGCGGTGTTTTTACCAGAAGACTCAGGCACTGCAATTAGCCCTTGGGATCCCCTGTGGAAAAGCAAATCTGTATTTCCTTGCTTCACTCATTGCAAGGAGGTCACTTTATTAAACTCTTACGGTTTGTCTTGTCCTCTTCCAGCCCTGTGGGATTCATGCAGCTCATGCAAGGCTGTGGGGAGAAGGAAAGATAGGGAAAAGAGTAATAATAATTAGTAGGAATAATAATCAGTTGTAATAATAATAAACAGTAGTAGTAGTAATAATAATAGAAAAATTGATAATGATTATGATGATGATGATAATTGTAATAAACTAAACGCCCCCCAAAAAGTTGTGTTGTTTGGTAGCTGCAGAGCTAGCCTGATGGAAACAGGAGCAGAGGAGCTCATGCTCTTTATCCAAAGCCTTTCCTGCTGCCTGCCTTTGGCCTCTGTTGCACCTTCATCCCTCACTTCTCTGGGAAGGGGAATAGCAAGGAAAAGCCATTTTCTGCTCAGGCTGCAGGAGGAGGGATGGAGAGCTCAGATCTTGGCCTACAGAGCGTTCAGATCCATCACATTATCCCCTCGGAAATTTCAGCTCTATCACCTGCACGGAAAATCAATGTCTGTGGGTTTTAATTTCACCAGCTGTACCCCAAGGAGAAAGGCAGGCTGGTGTGCGGCACGGGGCCAGTTTGTTTGTTTTCTCTGTCAGTGAAGCCCGTGGTAAGGCCTGGGTCTAGGCCAGAGTTCCCTAATCTCAGCCCAAAGCCCTCATCCCCTCCTAGGTGACACATGGCCTGTAGGTCTGATCTGCCACTGCTCTCACAAATTTGTGTATTTATGGGTGAGCTTGCAGTGGCCTCTGGCCAGGGTCGCTCACTGCCTGCATAAAATAATTCACCCAAGAAGAGCACAGCTGCTCTTCATCACCCCAAAATGTGCAAATAGGATCATTCCCAGAAGTTTCCTGGAGGGTTTGGTTATGCTGCCCTTTCTTGGCTTTAGTAAAACCTGTTGTTTCCCCAGTTTTCATTTGGTTTGGTTTTTTGTTTTTGTTTTTTTTTTTTCCTCTTCTGGTTATTTTTATTTTTATTTTTTCTGTTTTTAGAAGCAAAACAGCAAAATAAGGGGTGGAAAGGTCAGGGCAAACAACAGGAAAAGAAAGAAGACAATGTAATGGGTGGAAAAGAAAAAAAAACCCAATAGATTTCTGTTCTTTTTAAAAAATTAATTATAAAAACAGATAAAAATTTCCTTTTCAAGGCTGCATGATGAGAAATATCTCAAATATTTCCAGGAAAACATGGAGTACTCCCAAAACAATGATTTCCCAGATCATCACACCAACCTCCTTGCCCCACCAACAGTTTGCAGGATTGATCATGCCAGTAGAAGGGAAAGATTTTCACGGCAGGAGAAAGGAGATTAATCATGTTTTAATAACTCTTTTTTTATTCCGATGATCTTTTGCCTCTGTTGCCTCAAAGCATGACAGGCGTTGGCTGATGTGGCCCTGACAGGCTGACTCACAGATACAGAAATGCCCTTCCTGCTGACATACTGCTTTTCCTTTATAAAAGTTGATTATTCATGCTCCTCCGCAATGCAAAGTTATTGCGAGACTTTCCCAGCTGCCTGCTTGGATAACCAAAGGGAGACCTATCACTTCACCGGAGTCTGACTCATCTGAAATGTCACTGTCACCCTTCAGCCAGAGGAACACTGATAGTGGGTATTTCAAATTGTCCTTTTGACCTGAAGTTACGGGGGTAGGGGTCACAGATTTTTCATTGAATTTTGGAAATGAGGTTTCTTGTGTCAGAATGCTGACAATTATGTGATAGAATGTAATGTAATAGAATGTAATGTACTGTAATAAATATATGACATAATTAATATAATTAATGTATTAAAACAGAATAATATAATTTTAAATTATGATGTCAAGATTATAAAAAACTCCAAAAGCAGACCATTAAGTAGCATATACGTGCTTTCCCATCTAGGCATGACCTGCATGCGATCTCACTTGGGGATTCAAACAGCCCAGGGGTCTCTTCTCCCAGGTTAGGGTGACCTGCTTGGGATTTTGTGGTGTCCTGCAGGTCTGGGGCAGGAATCCCTTGCAGAAAAAGCAGATTTCCCTGCGCTGGATCAGATGCAAAGAGAAAAATATCCCAAGGCTGGGAAGCACCAGACAAATAAACCCATCCAAAAATAAGATTTAATGCCCAGCCAGGCACCCAGGCAAGGACCTTCAAGGGGGTATTGCTGCACAGCTGCACTGAGGATGCTTAATTATCTGCATATTAAGAGCACTAGCTAGGGTGGGTTTGCCAGGAGGGAGTGTTGTTTGCCATGGCTTTGGAGAAGGCAGAACTGAGGAGGTCATACCAGGCAGTGAGTCTTCTTGCTAAAACTGGGAAAATAAGTTTTCCCCATAGGTTCTCTGGCTTCTCCATGGTTTGTTACAGCTGCAATTTTCAGTCTGGGTGCAGAAAGTACGGTTTGAGAGCAATGGTAGGGCTGAGCTAGGTCCCGCAAGCATGCCTGATACTATTTTTTCCCCTCTGGCTCATAGTTTTATGTTAATTGTTGGACTACAACCAGGGAAAGCAGACGGTGCCATTTCCCAGAGGGATTATAGCCTCCCGAGACAGGGTGTTTGTGATATCTGGCAAGGCAAGAATCTGACTTTTCCTCCTAATATCCTCTTCACCTGGTACCTTTACCCCATCGTACCCCCATGCCCTGGTCCAAGTCATCATAGCTGAATTAATTGGTATTTTCTGTAAGTGATGGATCACGTGTAGCCCAATTTACAGGGGATGCAGATGCTAGACAAACCTTGACAGTACCCCAGCAGGGAAAATATTGGAAATTTTGCTTATTTAGGGCCATTAGGCTCTTACCCTTCTCCATGAACTTTCTGTTGAGAGTTGCAATGTCTCTAAAATGTGCACGTACCCAGCAGTTTGAGGCACCTGAGGCCAGGATTTCCCTTAGGAAAGCCGAAGGATCTACCCTCTGCTGTGGGCTGGCTCTTTCCCTCCATTGCGTGGTCACTGGCATTGCTCAAATCTGCTCGGCGAGATGTGAGCTTCACTTAGCAGCCTTGAAAGGTCTGGGGAGAGCTAAATGCCAAGAAATATTTAAAAGATAAAAATAATAAAAAGAGGAAATGAGCAGACATTTAAAGCATTTGTTTTTGCAATGACTGACTCTTTGTGGGATTTGAAGGAAGGAACGTGGTACTTTGTAGATTATATTTTAATGTTAGTCAGTACCTTTTCTCTAAATTCTTCTGGTGGAGGCTGTTTCCTTGCAGCACCTTTCCTAGAAATGGGGAACAATTATATCCCAGGGAGGGGGCGGTTGAATTACCACATCGTGCTCCTCCACTTTGGTTTATCAGGTTAGCCGTGAGGCTCTTGCAGGGGGAACTCCATCCAACGTGCCCCAACCTCAGCAGGCCAAAATAAATAGGATTAAAAGTAACAGCAGGCTGGAGGTCTCTTGCCATGCTGGGAGCAACGTTCCTGCTAAAATATGACCATTGTCCTACCCTTAGCGGCTCCTGGCACTCGGCAGGGACCCCCTGCTCCTCGCGTGGGTTCTGACAGCAAATTTTGCATGGCCAGCGCCTTGTTCCCATGGGCCATTCTGGGGCAGGCAGAACAGCTCTGGGAACACTCTTTGTAGCTTGATGCACCAAGCCACCAAACATCCACTGTGAGATGTAGCGTCCTGGTTGGATTCTTTAGGGTTTTCTTGTTTTTAAACACTACTTAAGGAAAATGTCAATGGCTGATAGAACACCACATGAATGCCATTACAGACACAGGCAATGCAAGCAGGGGTTTTGTGTCATTGAGGATTTTTCCCCTATCTCTGTGAGCTTTTCCCTTTTAAGGATGGCCTTGCTTTGCTGGTGCATGTCATGGAGGCAGCTCTAGCCACTGGCAATCCTGAAATTTGAATTTGAATGATTTCTGTTGGTGACCAGAGCCAGCGAAGCTGATCTCTGCCCTCATACAGAGCTACGCTGAAATCAGGGGGACTGCCTGTGGGTTTGAGGTCTTACTTGTGGGTTTAAGGCCTTTATCATGGGCTTAGGATCCAACCAAGATCATCCCAGTGTCCCCGTCCCATGGCCTTGTGTTCTGGTAGACTTCATGTAGACATGAAGTGAATAGTCCTCGCTCAGGACAGCTGTGCCTATGAAAGGCTGAGACCCTGCTGACTGATTACATGAGGGATGAGCACTGAGAGAGGGCTTGTTAGCACTGTCCACCACTGCAGGAAACACAAGGATTACGTGTACCGAATCAATAGGTTTTGATATTGTATATATTTATTAAAAGCCACTGAAAACACATTCTGTTTATTTTTTTTATTGGTGTTTCATCAGAAAAACAACATACAACATGCAGGATAACTGTATTCTTCCAGTCGAAGGCAATTACAAGGCTGTGGTGCTGTGCCACTGCCCTGCAGATGACGAAGTAAAATGCAGTCCTGGCATGCCATTGACACAAAGGATGAGGTGTGTCTTAATTCTGAACCATAAAAATATAACACTTACTTCATTATAAACCAGTTGACATATACAAAGCATTTCAGACGTGTTGGTTAACCCATCCCAACCCGGTGGCAGCAGGAAAGTTATAGGGCTTGTATTTAATAGCACCTCATTTATATGGAAGGAACGGGGAGCAGAGGTAGCTGCCCTGGGCACCTCAGTAAAACCCACCTTGGGCCAGGGTGAACATCCCGCCTCCTCTGACTGTAAGGTGGGGTACCAAACTATTTGGTCCTGTTCCTATTTGCTTTATCCCGCAAGATTCACTGGGCCCTGGATAACTCCCTGACGAGGACATGGATCCAAATGTTCCTGCTGGGTTCGTGGCAGGAAGAAAGGGAGACACGAGATTACCCAGGTGTAATTGCACTGGGGTGAAGGATGCTACATCAGGAAATATTTCACCAGAGAGAATCCAAACTAAACCTAGGCATGGATTAGTGTCTTCCCTAGGCTGGACCCACTACCATACTTCATTGGCAACACAGTACGCATACCAGAATGCACAAAGGTTGTTACAGGAACCAGGATTATAGGTTTTACCAAGGAATTGCTGGAATAAATAACACCTCTCGGATTTGTACTAGCTCTGAGTCCACAGTCATGCTTCCTTTTTCCGTTTTCATAGTGGAATGAGTGTTATATACAACAACTAATTGATACTTTAACTAAAAAATAAAGCAGAAACACTCCCAAGACTGTTAACATCTGGAAAATGCCTCAGCTTTTGATTAAAGCAAAGCAAGTAGTCCCTGCAACGCGAGGCACATCATGGTGACCACCTTTTTCCCATGCAGACCCTGAGCTGGCATAGCCCGCCAGCACAGGCATAATTTAATGTAGGTAGGTTGTCCCACTGATTTCGGTAGGATTATTCGGTTGCTAAATTTATTAATGTTTTCAAAATGCTTTGCTGGCTTGTCATAACACAGACAGAGTACAGAATTTTCTGCAAGACTTCCAAGAATGCCACTGCTGTGTTCACTGCTTCTCCCAGCCACTGTGTGGAGAAAAGGAAGCATGGACAGAACATGAAAAACATTTCTATCAGCTACATTTTCCTGTGTTCTTTTGGTTTCTTGGTTTTATTTATTTATTTTTTTAAAAAAATTTTACAATGGAGAAATTAAGACGAAAAGAAGCGCAGGAAAGGGTTTTCCTCCACACATGGAAGAACAGGATGCAGGTCGCTGCCTACAGCAAACTCCTTTGTGTTCAGTTCCCATTTCTGCAGCAATTGAGCCTCACATATACAATAAAACCAGGAGAAACTTCAGTAAATTTATGTACCCTTCAAATCACTTGCCTGTTCTTCTTTTGCACCTTCTTGCCTTGTAGACCATAGGTACATAGTGAAGCTAGCGCTGCTTGATGGAAAGCAGGAATGGCCCCTGTGCCCCTCAGTTTTTTTGGGGAGGATTCATGCTGAAACAGATCGAAGAGGCTTCGTTGTCAGGAGTGTCTGAGGGTGAACAGCTCTCTGAAGTTAGGTACCTGGGAAAGGACTGAAGAGCAACTTCACCCTGAGAAAGCATTTGCTTTGGAGGGGATTTAAATGTTTTATGTATAATAATTAGCAAATATACAACATCCAGTGTATTCTTTACAAGGGGAGGAACGGAAAATGCGTTCAGCCTGGACCCCAAGCAGTCTGGAAGGAGTCCTACCAAAAAAGTATGATGCCACAGGAAAAGTCCGGTCTCTCATCCAGATGCATTTGAAGGAAAGGATTGTTTTCTGTATTTTGCAAGTGCTTTTAAACTGAATACACTGGGAACAGGTAGGCAGTTCTTCTAAACATAGTTTTTTCCTACTTTTTCACCATACATTCTCTGCCTTGGCCCTTTGTCTACAAGGCTGAGTTAAACAGCTTTCCCCATGCTATGCATGTTGGGCGCTCTGGGGGTGGATTGAGGTCTTGTCCTTACGGGTTGTGATGCCTTGAGGGGGAAGCAGCACTGTCTCGCTGCCCCAAACCCTGTGCAATCGCACAGGCTTCTGCACGGCACTGCAGGGACGATAGCTCCCCTTGAGAAGCTCTTTGCTGCTGTAGTTTTAATAATGTTTATTCAGTTACCTCTGACATGACATCTTTTTCCTTAAAAAAAAAAACAACAACACCCCCCCCCCCAAAAAAAAAAAAAGCCCTGCTCGTGACTGCAGAGACCAGTTCTTGCCCTGGTGAAACATATAACAATTTCAAACCCATTTCAATGAGAACAAGGCAAAACCAAGGGTTGGATGCAGGCAGTTGGCTGCCCGGCAGGTGAGGGAGGGTGCTAGCATTGCTTTTGGGGTGCTAAAGGACTGGGGGGGCTGCAGGACCGGAGCAGGGAAGCAGCTGCTTTTGCATGTCATCATTTCTAATACAGGTAGGGGAGCCCAAATGAAAAATGAAAATAAATGTTTTCCTTCAGGAAGACAAGTCAAGGCTTACAATTTGCTGGTTTTAAGCACAGTGAGGTTCTGGAGCAGCCCTGGCAGGCAAACTCAGCCCCACTCCTCGCCACCTCGCAGCACCGTCCCTGTTAACCCTTCCCTTGGAGGAGCAGCAGCTGGTTTATAAACCACAGGACTGATTGGGGCTGCCTTCCCACCCGGCGCCGACACCTGATTTTGTGGGGGGGCAGATCAGCTCCGTCTTTGCAAGGACTCCCAGGACAGGTGCTGGGACATGCAAAACCATGTCGAACAGGCAGCATCACCCCCCCCACCATCCCCTCTTTTTTCATTTTTCTTTTGAATTTGCAGAAATGTTCCCTGCCGCCGGCAGCTCTGCCTCCCCCCTCAGTGCCCCCGGCACCGTTACCTGCGCTCGCCGCCCGCCCCGCGGCTCTCCGGCTGCTCGGGCACCCAGCAGTAGTTGTCCGCTGCGTTTTTGGCCGGCCGCTTCTCCCGCTTGGCTGCCCGCTTCCTGCAGGCCAGCAGGACCAGGGCGAAGGCCAGCACCAGCAGGATGGCTACCAGGCTGCCCAGGATGTAATAGAGGAGCAGCCTGGGGCCGTCGGTGGTGTGCTCGGGGCCAGGCGCTGACTCTACTGCTGTGGGGACTGGGGGTGTCACCCCGACGGGGACGCCCGGGGTCCATGGGGCGCCCGTGGCCCGGGGGATGCCTTTGGTCTGGGAGATGCCCGCGGTCTGCGGGGTGCCCGTGGTCTGCAGGGTGCTGTTGGGAGCCCCTGTGGGCTCCTCTCCAGGGGTGGGTACGGCGCGGCAGCCGTGTCCATCCTCCTCCGGGAGGAAGCCGGAGGGGCAGAGGCACTCGAAGCCGCCGGGCAGGTTGCGGCAGGGCCCAGGGCAGGGGTCCCGCAGGCACTCGTCCACGTCCAGGCAGGCATCACCGCCGCCGGGCTGGCGCTGGTAGCCGGGCCGGCAGGTGCAACGAAAGGAGCCGGGGATGTTGAGGCAGAGCTGGGGGCAGACGCCGGGCTGGGCGCACTCATCCTCGTCGCGGCAGTGGTGGCCACCCGTCCCGGTTGGCCGGTAGCCGGGCCGGCAGAGGCAGACGAAGCTGCCGGCCGTGTTGTGGCACTCATGCTGGCAGGGCCCCGACAGGCACTCGTCCACGTCCAGGCAGCGGCGGCCGTCAGGTGCCAGGGTGTAGCCGGTCTCGCAGCCGCACTCGAAGCCGCCAGGTCGGGTCCGGCAGGTCCCCTGGCAGGGGCTGGGGTGACAGGCGTCCTCGGGCAGGCAGGAGGCCATGTCGGGGGCCAGGACGTAGCCGGGATGGCAGGCGCAGCGCGGGGACTCCCCCGGCACCTCCAGGCAGCGGTGCTGGCAACCCCCGTTGTGGTGGGCGCAGGCGGTGGGGCAGAGGCGCCCGGGGGGGTGCCAGGCAAAGCCTCCCCCTTCCAGCGGCCCCTTGCAGAGGGCGAAGGCCGGACCCTCGCCCCCCTCGCAGTCGACTTCCACCAGCGTGCCGAAGGGGGCGGCCGCCAGCCGTGGGCTGCGCACCCCAAACGGGGTGGTGTAGCTGACCCGGCCGGGCCCAGCCAGCGGCAGGGGCCCGCACATCCCCCGGAAACTGAACTTGCAGAGGAAGGCGGGCAGGTGGGACCGGCACGGCCGGTCAGCCCAACCGAGGGGGCCGGAGGGTCCGGCCGGCCGCAGGCTGACGCAGCGGGAGCTGAGGCAGGTGACGGCGGGCTCGGCAAGCCAAGCCGAGTAGTTGCCGGGCTCCCCGCCGGCCGCCCAGGCAAAACCCCGCAGCGGCTCCTGCGCCTGGACGCACTGACCCCGCGACAGCGACAGCCCGATCCAGGCCGGGCCCGGCCAGCCGGCCGCCGCCAGCAGCTCCCGCAGCCTCTCAGCCTCCTCGGGGCCTCGGACGGGAGCCAGGTTGCCACCATTGAGCTGGCAGCGTTCCTGGGCGCTGCTCCAGACCAGCTCGGCCCGGTGCAGGGTGTAGCAGGCGGTACCGGCGCAGACCACCTCGGCGTCCTCCCCACCAGACTCCCGCAACAGCAGCAGCAGCAGCAGCAGCAGCAGCCGGGCGATGGCCATCCCGCCGGCTGCACGGACAGACAGAGGGACTCGTCGGCTGCCGGCTCACATCCCCTCGTCCTGCTGAGCTCACCCTACGTGCATCCTGTGCTCCCGGGTCTCCTATTTATCACCGGAGGCTACTGCTTCCTGTAGCGTGCTATGGCTCGCCGCTTGCTGGTGGCGGCCCAGGCGGTTGCCTTGCTGTCTTCCCCTTCCCCCCGGCGCAGCGGGCTCCTCGCTCCCATCCTAAAGCTTTGGCTTCGGCTGGCGATGCTTTTCTGCGGGTGAAACCAGCCGGGTTCCTGCTTTCCCTTTTTTTTTTTTGGTTTTCCAGGGCTTGATCTACTCACTCACACAGCAGATTATTTTTCTAATCCCTAATAGGGCCTGTATCATTTTCAAGCGTGTATTGCTATAAAGGGAAAAAAAAAAAAAAAAAACAAAAAAAAAACCAAACAAACCAACACAAAATAAAAAGCCGTGGGATCCCTTGCTATCAGCTTCTAAAAGAAACTGAATATTTGGCGTGGTGTCTCATGCACACGCCACATTTCCAGTGCATTTTTCCCCTTCTTCGTGCTCTTTAAATAGACGAACAAGCCCTGAAATAGGAGCTAGGTCGTGGGAAGGTCCAGGCTGCCAGCACAGAGCCAAACTCAGCCGGTCCTCGGTGCTGTCCGAGCAAACCCTCCGTGCCAAGGGAAGAACTGGCCAGACACTGCCCCAGCATCAGGCAGGTGAGGGTTGATGCTGCAGTGCTCCATGTTAATAACTCGCTAATCACTTGACCCTGAGCCGGTGTAGTGCAAAGAGTCAGCTGGGTTTGGCTGACGTCGGTGGCTCTGCAGAAGGCTGTTAGAGAAAGGGCAAAGGCATTAAAATAGCACACTGTAATGTTTAAACAACATTAACATTGCAAAAGTCCCTAAAAGGGCTTGAAGCAACTTCTCTGCAACAGAGTTTTAGGATCCAAAAGCCTTGTAGCAGCGTGATTGAAATTTAAATATTTTTAAACATTTAAATTAAATATTTACTGGTGCAGAATTTGCCACAGTTATCCTTTTTCAGACTGGGAGATGCCAAGCAAGACAATGACTTCTGTTCTGCCTCGGGCGTACTCACCGTTGGGTGCCGCGGCCAGGCATGTAACCCGGCCATGCGGGTATGCAAACCAGCATTTTGCACAGCTGAACACCCCCGGGCATGTCCTGGTTTGGACCCATCATTTGTTATTTTACTTAAAGCTGTCCTTTTACAAGCAAATTCCTGCCTGCAGAGCGGTGTCTGCAGAGAGGTCAGGATGGTGGCAGCGTTACAGAGGGTGATGATTACTGGACTGCTCTGAAGCAGGGAGGACAGCAGGATGGTATCTCTGGGCACTGTTCTCCCTGCTCTTTCCACTTGCTCTTTGGAGACCCTTGGATGAAGATGAGTGGGCAGAGAGGTTGGATGACAGAGGTTTTGCATGTGTCAGGTAGTGCGGGGTGGTTTATTTGCATGATCATCAGAACACATAGTAGTGCGAGGCGGGGGTAGCGAACGAGCAAAAAGCTAATGAGTTTTAAAAAAAACCCCTAAGCCTGGTTCCCTCGCTGACAGTCCACCTGCTCTTCACATCCCAGGATCTTTCCCTGGAGGTTCCCTCTCGCAGCAGCTAACTCAGACTTTAGCCCCTTGACCTGCGAGTCTGTCTTATCTTTTCCTGCTCAGCAGGCATCCGTCACAACCATGAATTCCATGTTCATTCCAGTAATCTTCCTACTTGTTGATTTATCTGTTTTTTGTGTGCTGAGTTAACTGAGTAACACCGTAACGAGTGACGGCAATCTGACTGGCGAATCAAAACAAGAAACCCCCTTGAAGAAGGGGAAAAGCATCATTTGGGTGATGCAGAGGTGTCGCTCCTATCTAAACTGAGAATAAGATGCAGGGATTCACAGCTAATGCTCCGAAACCAGCGTGTTTCGGATCAGCAGCCACACCAAAAAACTGTGTTGGGAGGCAAAAAATACTTTGATGCCATCTCGATTTGGTTATATTCAGAATTTCTTACTGGAATAGATGGGGGGAATTTTCATTTGACCTGTACAAAATGAGATACCTCAACACAAAAGCATTTCCTTTCTGCTAAATCAGTATGTGTCTTTGCTTTTATAAAAACACTGCTAGTGTTTTCTCTTTGGTCAGACAAGCTGGGTGCTCAACTGATAATTTATTTCAGCAACCCAAACGAGCATTTTTTGTCCAACCAATTTCCACAAACAAAAAATGGCCATTTCTAAGCATAGCTCCTCCAGACATTTCCAAGCTGGGGTTATGGACAAAACCAAAAATGCTTCAAAATAATTTCTAGGTGCATATCTAAGAGGTCAGTCCAGCAGAGTAATTAATGAATTGCTGGTGATATTCTTCATGAGGAGGTGTGTGAGGCGTAATCAGGTAGAGGTGAGGGCTTCTGTCCCAGGGAAGAGAACTTCTTTTTCAAAACAGCGGTGTCAGATCCTTTCCTTTCATTTGCAAGAACATAGCTAATAACTTTTTCCAGTGGCTTTGTTTCTTTTTTCCCCAATAAATGTTCGAATGTTCCTGTTAGAGCTGTTTATAGGCTGGTTACAATTTCACGGTCAGGAAACCTCCCCAACCACTTTTTAGTGAGTTCTTCATCTGCAAAACTTATGCTAGTATTTTTACCCACACTTTTGGCAAGAGAGTAGTTTTTGGTAACTCAAAAGCACATCGTGCTTCTATTGTTTTTTATTAAATACACCATGCCTTTTAAATTTTCTTCTCAGTTGGGCTGATGTTCCCAGCTGAAAAGCAATCAAAGTCCCGGTTCTTGAGTTAAAAGGGGTTTTATTTCTCAACCCCCATGGCTGAACACATCTATAAGCCCCTGTTTCAGATAATAATCAAAACCAAACTATCTTCTGAAGACCAGAAATCCTGCCGAATGGCATACCATACTTAAAAAAAAAAAAAAAAAAAAAATCAGCTTGCTGAAGGAACTGGTTAAAAGGTGTTTCTCCAAGGCCAAAGAAGGAAACGTGTACTGTCTGCCTGACCTCAGCAACGGCTGTTTGTGCAAACCCCCACGGCTGGGACGAGGAACAATGGGGCCTGGGGGGAGGGACACCTGCACCAGCAGCAGCTGGAGAAGAATAGGAGGAACTGGGCTTCCTCTGGGGACGTCTCAAGGACTTCACGCTAGGTCAGTGGCGTGCGGTGAGCCGCCTGCTCCTCTGGGTGAGGAGCTGGGCCTGGCAGCCCCAGCGCAGTGGGCAGGCTCTTGGGATGGGGGTAACATTTTTTTGCATGTGAAATTTTGGGGAATTTGGGCAGTGCGGAACTGGGTTGATTCCTGCTGATGCCAAACGTGGGCACTGGAGAGGCTGCTGCGTGTTTGTATGAGTGCACTTTAGTTCTGATGATTTACAGTGGAACCTTATTGGATATTAAGATTTTTGTCATCTGCTTTTAAAGGAAGAAAATCTTAATAATATCAGAGCTGACTGGAACATTTTCCAGCTAAATATTTCTGAAGGATGATGCTCAGTGACTGGTGTTGGAGTCCCTTGCTAAGAAGCAGGAATTAACAAGGCTGTAACAGAAATAAAATCCAAAGTACCAGGAACAGGATGGTTGCTTGACGCAGTTTCTAGCTATTATCATTATTACATTTACGGCCACAGTAGTTGCATTTGCTTGCATGCCTTGCAGTCAGGTAAAGAAGAATACTGATTTTTGTTAAGAGTCTCATAATCACACAGCTGTGCCATGATGTTCGTTTGCTCGTTCAACAGTTCAAAGCACCTATTTCTGACACACTTTTCGGGTGCCATGGGGTACAGGGAGGTGTTCCCCCTTTCCTGCTTGGCCTCCCGGCAGGGTCTGAAACAAACACCACAAGTCCTGAAGCCAAGGTGCTGGAGACCCTATGAGTAATTTTAAAATGCCTGGAAGGAAGTAGAAAAGCAAACAACATTGAATACAAGGTGGGGGGAGGCGGCAATGAAACCTACTTCCAAAACCCAGAGTGTAACGGGACAGATGGAGAAAGGCTTTGCAAACAGCCGTGAGCTGCTGGGAAACATCTCTGTGACTTGGGGGGGAGCAAGCAGGGTCTCACCCTCAGAGGGGATCCGTTTACACCAGATTGTTGTCTCATCCTCGTATTCTTCTCAAACTGCGGACAGAGTTGAGCCCCCATTTTGGGGGAACACAGCACCATCGCAGTGGGACTTGGTGCCCCAGATCATCTGTTAATGCAACACTTGTCTTTGCAGGAAACATATACCCTTATTCTTTTTTTCTTTATGTACATATATATATGTGTATATATATATATATATAAAACAATATTACACACACAAACACCTACATGTACTTCATATACAAATTTATAAACCTTATTCTACATATTTTTATCAACAGGTATATTAGAATTCCCTTAGGGCTAGAGTAGGTTCTCGTAAATCCGACTGAGGAATATCATGCTCTGCAAATCCTCCCAGGATTTTTGCAGGGGCCTTTACACAGAGAAGGAAAAATACTCCCTGTGAATAAATGCAATAAAGTCAACTCCATAAGAAAAGCAAATGAAAATATTTCACATTCTTTAGTGGTAATCGCTTGGAATTATTTTTGTAAGACCTTCTTCTAGTGCTGTTAGTTTTTCTAAGTGACTGTAAGAAAGCAAGGGCCTCAGCGTGGAGGGTAAGGATGTGTTTCCACCTTGCTTTCCATTGTTAAAACAGCTGGGAAGGCTTGTGAAGCACTGACACAGCATATGTTCCCCACCAGGACAGCTGAGGCGCTGTGAAAAGCCGCTGCCGAGGGCGGAAGGAGAAGGCTGAGCAGCCAGCTGGGACCAGGCAAGGGATGGGACTGGAACCAGTGTTATTTGGGTTTATTCTGGAGCCGGTGGCCTGCAGAGCCCCAGAGATGCGGTTACCCCCCAGTGCCGAAAAGCATTGGGTCCACAAGGCCATTTCTGCACGAGGCCTCGTGAATCCCACAGTCACCAGGACCTGGATAAAAGTGGGGTGCTGGGGTGGGGATGCTCGAAACCTAAACATGTGTTTCAGCAGGAAAACACTTTGGCAGGGACTCATCAGATGAGGACATGGGGCTGGATCCCGTGTCCAACAAAGCTGGTGATTTTTTTCTTTTTCACAGGCTCTGCTAGTTTTGGACTGGAGCGTCTCCTGAAGAAACAGAGGTGATAACCGTGGAGTAGGGAAGGGTTATTTGATGAACATGGGTCAGTGGCTGTGGCCAGGAAAAATGCAGCTCATTTGCCAGCCTATGGGAAAAACTGCATTTCCCCGGGATGGTTTTTCACTTACTTTCAGAAACACCTTTTCCCCTTCCTCCCCAGGAAGGGATTACCGAGGGCCAGCAGCAGCCTGCTCTGGTTTTCATCCCCATCTGC